GTAAAATAATAGAAAACTGGGTTAGTGTACTAATTTTCAATATGAAATCGTCTCATTAACATTCTTTTGATTAAGCCAACTTTCAAAAAAACATTCTTTTCATTGACATATTTCTGTTAAATGTGATTCATTTATATATTAAATGCAATGCACATAAATTGTCGTTCTACAATATTCTCTTCTCCCTCTATTTCAAAAAGATGTACTAGATCAAGACCCGCACATCTTTTAGGTTTTATTTTTGTTTAAATAAAATATTTATTTATTTTATATTATTTAGTTTTATATAGTTTAGAGTTCGTCCATACTTATTTTATAAACAACATGATTAAAATTATATATTGTATTAATAGTTTTCATTAGTGTATTATAGATATATGTGGGGTGAAAACTTTAAATTGGTTACCCGAATTCAAATCCGTAAAACTCTGAAATGAACCTGAACCAAAATTCACAAATATTCAAATATAAATGAAAATTTTAATCTCAAAAACTTGAAACCTAAATAGATTCGAACCGAACTCGAATGGCTCTCAAATGCCCACTATAGTTTAAATTTTTTAGAGTTGGTCAATTTCATAGTATTGAAATAACATTACTTAATAGTAGTGATATAAATATTAATAGATTAGACTAACGAATTGTCTACAAACAATTAACGTAAATGAAGATATATAATATAGTTTGTTTTATAATGGAAGAATAGTATATGTTTATAGATTAATATATCAGTTGAATAATATAATAGATACAGAAAAAAATTTGAATTGGAAATATTATATGAGATATGGAAGAAAATAATTATGGTAGTTAGTGAAAGATTATTTAAGGAAATATATGATTTAATGTTGAATTAATAATTAAGATAACCTATAAATATTTAGTTGTAGAAGAAGTTGTAATGTTTATATTTTAATAATATGTTTTAGAATTTTTACTCATGTTAAGAAAACATATAAATTTTTCCTTACTAATAAATTAAAAAATAATTTACTATTCCCCATAATTTTTAACCAATAGAATTTTAACAAATGTTTGAAATTTACAATATAACATTAACTAATACATTGAAACTATAAAATATGTATCTTTTAAAAATATTTTTTTTTTCTAAAACATGAATTATAGTGAAAGAGAGAGAAGTAGTAATTAAAAGTATGTTTTATTTTAAAAAAAACAATAATGTATATACATGCTCTTCGTTGAAATTAATGTAAATATATACTTGGAATCAATAAAACCATTAAATATAACATGTTTTCATAATGTTCATAGAAAAATAAATATATGGGTGATGTCTTATTTGCAGATAAGAGAGCGACTTTGCACCATGATTCATATAGAGACGGATTGTTCGTATGATTGTCAATCCCACCGACTGGCCGACCTTTGCATTCGAGCTTGTCTCTTTCCGTCTTTTACGAGCCGATTTCTTGGAATTCATCATTGGCCATATATCTAAAATCAAGAATTTATGAGTACTCTTTCGTCAAGAAGGCGAAAAGAAGTGATACTTTTCTTTTCCATATAGACTAGATCCAGCCGGGTAAAACGTCTCTACAGACGTCTCAAAACCATTACACTTGATCTTAAAAATATGGATGACAAAGAAAAAAAAGCCTGACCCAGTAAACTAATGTATTAGGCCTCTTGGCCTCTTTATTTCTGGTTCAAGTGAGTCAATTTGTAGTTGATCTTTACTCTTTTAATTATTAACCCAACACTGTTTGGGCTACTTTTCGTTTGGTTTAGTTGAGGCCCAATATCATGTAGAGTCAAGCCTAATTGCTTTTTTTTTTTTTTTGAACAAGTCAAGCCTAATTGCTACAAGAGTATTTGCATTGTGTATACACACAAAACCTCCAAATTAGCTAGATACCCTATTTCCCCCTTCTCTCTCCTCCCCCTATTATTATTTTTCCCCCTAAACTAAGGCAAATTCCTAAATAACTTTTTTTTTTGGTATATTTAGCAAATTCACCCTTGCTACAATGGTAAAAGAGAGCTACAAAAATGATAGACAAAACGGTTAAAAAAAAAGAATTTACACCCCATATACAAACTAAACCCCTAAATTAACTATATATCCTCTTTTTTCTCTTATCTCTCCTCCCTTGCTTTCTCTATTTTGCGGAAGCTGATAACGTTGTGTACATAGCGCGCGGTTAGAGTTTTTATTTTCTTTCTTTTTTACCTTTTCATATCTCCTATATATTATTTAGAGATCATTTAAAAAATTGTAAACTTAAGTTTGTATTAATTAAAAATAACTTCAATCATATGTGACATATCTCTTTGCCTTCTAAATTCTATTTAACACAATTCTAAAACACTTTACATATACCATAGTTTAAACATATTTAATAGAAAGATGTTGGTCACATATCTTATTAATATTAAAAATTTATTATTTATTCTTTCTTTAAAGAAAACTATGGAATTACCTAATGTGGTTAAAATATATATGACAATTAATAATTTCAGTATTAATAAGGATTTGTTAACAATTTTTATACTATCTACCATATTTGTTTAAATATTAGTTATTAAAATAATTTACACAGTTACAGTATTTATATAATAAAAATTTATATTTTTTCGTATATATTGTATTTTGAATTTTTAAAACGGGTATAAATTACTAAATTGTTAAATATCTCAAATAAACTTTTTGTGATCAATAGTTTAAATTTTTATTATAATAAGATACAAATAATTTTAAAATACATGAGTAAGACGTCTTATTTAATATGTTTATATTAATACATATATATATAATTTAAATTAAATTACATAACATATAAAATACATAATTATATTTTGATATTTTCATTGAAAAATATTGAGAATCTAATATTCTAATTTTAAAATTTGCATTCAATTTTTAATAGTTCAAAATTCTGTTATAAAAATATATTGATAATCATAAAACCTTCCAATGAGAAAATTCATTTACTAAACATCCATATTTAAGATATATTATAAATATTGCTAATGTCATTTAAGTTTAATTGTATCTAATATATGATGGATAAACTGATTGTGTTGATTTATTTACCATAAAATGATTGTTAATAACTAAGAATAATCGTTTGATTTAAATGCACACACCAAATTCTCTATATCTTAATTGAGGGTCATTTAAAAATTTATAACATTAAGTTTATACTAATTAAAAAAATCATATCTTATGTGGCAGTTCTCTATGAAATTTTACTCAGAAGAATTCTAGAGAAACTCATATAAAACATAGTTTTAAAACAAAGTCCATTGGTTTCATATAAGACATATCAAACTAAATAACAGATCAAACTAAATCTCCTGTATATTCTTTCCTTAAATAAAACTTACGGAATTATCTAATGTCATTAAAATATATATGACTATTAATGATTTTAAATAATAAAGATTTGTTAAGAATCTGTATACTTTATATCATTTTTGTTTTAATTTTTTATTATTAAAATAAATTACACAACTACACTAATAAGATAAAAAAAATTAGAATTTTTTATATATGTTGTATTTTGAAATTTACAAAACGAGTATAAATTACTAAAACTGTTAAAAATTTCACATAAACTTTCATGATCAAGGTCTAAACTTTTTTCAATAATAAGTTACAATGATTATAAACCATATGAATAAATAATTTTATTTTAATAGGTGTTTATATTAATATATATATATATATATGAAAGTTTATGTGAAAGTTTATGTGAAAAATGTTAAAAATTTCACATAAACTTTTATGATCAAGGTCTAAACTTTTTTCAATAATAAGTTACAATGATTATAAACCATATGAATAAATAATTTTATTTTAATAGGTGTTTATATTAATATATATATATATATATATATATGAAAGTTTATGTGAAAGTTTATGTGAAAACTGTTAAAAATTTCACATAAACTTTCATGATCAAGGTCTAAACTTTTTTCAGTAATAAGTTACAATGATTATAAACCATATGAATAAATAATTTTATTTTAGTAGGTGTTTATATTAACATATATATATATGTATATGTATATATATCTCATATCATAATAAATAATTTTATTCTAAACATAATTATAATTTACAATTTAACTTAATTTTTTATTTAAAAATTAATTTTTAAAAATATAATTTTCTGATATTGTTAGACAACTAAATAAATTATATTAAATTAGTTTTGAAACTTTATATATTCTAAATGCTAATATTCTACCAATTGACTCTTAAGAAAGCATTAGGAAATTTGATAATGCTCTACCAGTTAAGTCATATGACACTCCGTTTATTTTCCATCTCTAGAATACTGAAAAGTGAAAAGATATATGAATCGGACCCATTAAATTATAAATTTTAATCTATAGTTCTAATTACAATTATTTCTGATCCTACGTATAGATAGTTATATAAAAATTCCAAAATTCCAAATACATATAAAAACAATCATATGTAAATTTTAAATTGTGAATACTAAAATATTATATTTTAATTATATACACTCACGTAGGTCTTATCCTAGTTATATAGTAAAAGAAATAATTATTGGTCAGATTGCTCATTCATTTTGATTAATACGAGTTTAATTACAAGATATAGATAGATCACCAAACACTTTGGAACGTAAAACCCACTCTAATGTTTTTTTTTTTTACTTTTTTATTTATTGTTAAGACAGATGTTATAAAAGACTTAGCTAGGAATCAAGAAACAACAACATTAGTGATTCCCACGTTACACCTTTCCTCCTAACCTGTTTCTTCATCACCACTCAATCTCCGCAACACACTTTTTATTGTAACGTGTTAACTCCCAACTTAAAAATCTTTTCTCAATCTTTTGCCGGCCATGACCCTTCCTTAGTCCCAAACCTTCTTGTGAGGAGAGAGATAGAGAGACTGAGAAACACCGCAAGCCCCTATTATCGGTGGGTCGAGTCGTCCTGGAGCTGTCTCGTTGTTTCCCCACGCCGGCAGAGGAAGAAGGAAACGAGTGGAGAGCCATGGACATTGGTGGTCCAACAGATGTACAACACGTGGCACACGTGACCTTTGATCGTTTCAACGGCTTTCTTGGCCTTCCTTCTGAGTTTGAGCCTGATGTCCCCAAGAAAGCTCCTAGTGCTAGGTTGAGACTTCTCTCTTTTTGTTTTATTTGATTCCTAAATAGGGATATACTAACTTGAATTTGTGATAATTTGTAAAATACATATGCTTGTCATAAAGAAAGTCATAACTAAATTTTGTTCTTCAAGATTTCATTTCATGTTTGTTTTGTTTTGTTGTGACAGTGCAACAGTGTTTGGGGTTTCGACAGAATCAATGCAGTTATCATATGATGCTAGAGGGAACTGTGTTCCTGTAATACTCTTGCTGTTGCAGAGCAGGTTATATGATCAAGGAGGGTTGAAGGTAGAAGGAATATTCAGAATAACAGGAGAGAACAGCGAGGAAGAGTATGTAAGGGAGCAGCTTAATAAAGGGATGATACCTGATGGGATCGATGTTCATTGTCTAGCTGGACTTATTAAGGTTTCTTCTTCTCCTATTTACCCTTTAATCTCAATGGAACTTTGAACTTGATGATGATGATGTGTGTGTGTGTTTGTGTTCAGGCTTGGTTCAGAGAGTTACCGAGAGGAGTGCTAGATCCTCTGCCTTCTGAGCAAGTACTGCAATGTGAATCAGATGAGGATTTTGTCAAGGTTGTGAGACTTTTGCCTCAGACAGAAGCTTCTCTTCTCAATTGGGCTATAAATCTTATGGCTGATGTTGTTCAGTTTGAACAAGTTAACAAGATGAACTCTCGTAATCTTGCTTTAGTCTTTGCCCCTAACATGTCTCAGGTCAGTTTCTTTGTTAAGATAACTTAGAGTTGAAGTAGTGTTTTTGTATTTTGAATTGTGCTGGCTCTTGTGTGTAGATGAAAGACCCCTTAACTGCATTAATGTATGCGGTTCAAGTGATGAAGCTGCTGAAGTGCCTCACAGAGAAAGCCCTGAAAGAAAGGGCAGTCACGTCTTCCCAAGTTGATACAAGATGTAGCAATGAGGCCGAAGATGGCGAGAAGGAAGTCGACAATGCTGACGAAGAAGGAGATGAAGATGAAGAGGAGGAAGAAGATGGAGATGGAGATGGCGTATACATAATTGAGGAAGTAGACAGTGAAGCCGAAGATGGTGAGAAGAAAGTAGACAATGAAGAAGAAGAGGAGCAAGATGGAGATGGCGTGTACATAATTGAGGAAGAAGAAGAGGAGCAAGATGGAGATGGCGTGTACTTAATTGAGGATGAAGCATCGGAGATAATAGGAGTGGTTGCTGATAACCTCAAGTCAGAAAACATGAAGAGTACATCTGATTCAAAGGGAGCTGGTGGAGCTGTGCAGCCACTCATTTGCAATCCAAACCATATAGGAAACAAGTGAAGCTAATGTTTTTTTTTCAAAAGTATTTGTGTTTGTATTGCTTTATCTTATTGCATTATGTAACTTGTAATCTTAGTTTGTTGTTGAATGCTGATATTATTATATGAGCCTAACTCTTATGGGATGAAAAGCATAAAATAAAGCAAGAAACATGACTTTTCATTCCTTAGTAGAAACATGTGGTCATATCAAAAAGATACAGTTGCTAACTTAGTTTATCAGATAATCTAAGCAAATACAAAGATGAAGAGTACACCTTGGTTCTTTGGCCGTTATTCCAGCTTGACAGAACGGTAGATATGGCGAATAAACATCCAAGAAGCCAAGAAACTTATGGTTCCAAGCACCAAAAAGAGAGCGTAACATAACAAAGCAGTGTATCCCAAGTAGAAGCTCAACTGCAGAAACCCTGTCATGTCAGACCTCAGATAGAATAATACTCCATATCCATACATGAAGATCGCCGCGAATCCTCCACACAAGATCGATCTGCACACAAAATCAAATGATGAACCTGTAAGGAAAAGTCTCTACGCCAATCATTTCCTTCTATGGCAGCATAATACTATGACTGTTTGGATCTAGATACTCAACGTAATGTGTAATCGTCACTGCTTCTGATCATACCTAGGCTAAATGAAGTTCACATGTTTGGATGGAAAAGAATAAATACCTCCACCACCATTCATGATCTTCACCGGATAGCTGGATGTAAGTCAAGATAATACCAACACTTGCACTCAACAAGATAAGCACAATGAATGTGAAAAGCATTATTCCAGGAGAGGTATATATTTTGAACCCCCACAAGCTTGCATAGAGTTGGTGCCACTCAAGGGCAACTGCACTGAAAGGCACAAGGCCTCCAAGAAACATCTGGTAGAGCTTTCTCCTATACCAACTCTGTGTTGGAATCTCTCGGGGGTTTCTTTTAATAGCAGAAGGAGGTTGAAACTCTGATAAGCCAAACCGGTTACCTAAAACTCCTCCAAACATGAGAAATGGGATGTTCAGAAGAGTGTAAATGAGTATGATGATGACTATTGTGCCAAAAGGGAGTGCAGCAGTTGCCCCATATGTTATTGCCACAGTGTTGAGAATCGAAACTATTATGAAGAAAGGAACTGTGTAGAGGATCCCAGCGAGGCGAACACTCCTTTTCTGGGAAAAGGCAACAATTCTCATATGTTTGAGATTATGCCAACAATGAATGAATCTTTCGAGAGCAGAAAGAGTAGAAGGCAGTTGAAAAGTTAATCACCTGTTTGGTTCCCTCGAAATGGCTATGGAAAGAAGCAGATGTGTAACCAGCCACTACTGATGTTAGAGTGTACACGATGACAAGAGAAGTGAGCAGCGATCCCCGATTGTATGGGTAGAGGAAACCGGTGAAGGCCAATGCAAATAGAGCTATAATCCTGTAAACAAGTCAGAGACATGGAACAATAATAAGAAGACCCGTTGTATGCAACAAAGTGTGATAACATCACTCTTATGCATTACTTTCTTTAGGCAACAAATAGAAAGGATGGTATAAAGTAGAAAAGATCGCAAGTATAATGACAATAATGGAATCTATATAATAAAAGCTTACAAGATTAGAAACTGAGCACCAGTTCCTAAGAAGGCACACAGCAAGGAGATGTTGCGAGGACATCTAAAAACATCACTTTGTATGAGTTTCCAACCCACTTCCCTTTTTTCTTCTTCATCTCCGTTTGAGCTATTGAAATGAAAGAGAAGTTAGATTAAATCTAATCATCACATATACTAAGTCTAAGCTACACAAAAACACAAGAATAATTTCCTGAGAAAAACTTGTCACCTTCTTAGTTCATTCTTGAGATGACGCATGAAGAGCAGAGAAAGAAGTCCAACTACCAAAACAACAACGCTTATGGAGTTAAGAAACGAGAAATAGTGAATCTTCTGACTGATAGGATGAATCGACGCCTGAGAGTACTTATTCATTCTTGTCTCAACCCGTTCTGAAGTCAAATTCCAAGAAACCGAGTATGTGAACCGAACATCAATCTCAGTGTTCTCTGATATATCAACCAGATAACTCGGATCGCTAATACTGTTTATTCCAATAACTTGGTCTGCGTTGTAGAGAACATTAAAGTTCAAGTGACTGAATATATAATACTTAGCATTCTCCTCCCCATGACCAGAATAATCTCTCTCTACTTTCCCAACAAACCCCCACAAGGGAAGATCATCGTAGTACATTTGGAAGTAGAAATCTTGAGCAATAGTATCTCTGAACCTGGCAACTTCACTCGACGTTAATCTCTTGTGGCACAATACAACATTAGTTTTATCCTCTTTAAATTTCACATCATATAAGGAGCTCATTAATCTGTCACCATTAAGAACTTCCCCAAGAGTTTCCTGTTTCTCAATCACAGTCTCTAGAAAAAAAAAAAGAAAGTATAAAACAATCTTGAATCAACATTAGTTTTCCATTTCCCCAAGGCACATAAGAGTAGAGAAAGACATAAACTTAATCATGTTTAAATTACAATGTTGAACTAAACTGATAACTGAGTTTGTCTTGAGAGAGCTAACCTGAACGACAAAAGGGTAAATCATAGTATTGATAGGTCTCACTGCAAACAAAGCAAAACCAGATCTTTACAATGGGTTTAAGCTAGCAAAAAAAACATACATTATACATTCTCTAACTTGGATCTTTAGCTTCTATACACAACTCAATCTAAAAGAAAGTTCTCTTCCTCTCAGGTTACTAACTCATTTGGAATCTAAAACCCATCTAGCAAATGTAAAGATTTTGAATTCAAAAACCTCAGGGGTGGAGCCAGACAAAAGAGATTTGAAGAAAGCACCTTGGATTGTGGAGAGGACCCACTTTGTTGACGAACAAAGGGACATGATCGCCGGCATTGTATCGGGTCGGATTCGAGGAGCCTGATCCGATCCAGAAGGTCAATGCGAGGAGGACTTGTAGCAGAAACTGCGCCATGATTGACACTCTTCAGCTGCTTTCGTAAACGAATAAATATGAGCAAGAGGAGCTCGAGAAACATACATCTTCTATTTAAGAAGTCAGACAGGTTTTAATCTGACATGAGCTGAAGCAAAACCGTACAGAACAGATATAAAACACGAACGACGTCGTTGGGGGGGAAGTCAAACCTGAATGGTGGTGATGAAATTGATCAGCAGAAGCTAGAGTGTGATCAGAGTTCGGTTTAGTTTATGATCAGAAACTCCTCCAAGACGGTGAAAAAAACACATCTTCGGATGAACTCAACCCGGACGAGAAGGGAGTTGCAGAACAGTTCGGTTTAGTTTCTGGTCTTACAAAACCAATCACGTTACAAAAATATCCCGTTCAGTTTAGTTTGGTTTAGTTCACTTGCGATTTGGGCCTTTCTTTATATTTGTTACAGGCCCACTTAGTTTCAGGTTTATCGCTTTTTCTTTAGTATAAAATCTTCGCATCTCGAATCCAGCCTAGGGTTTCTTCTGTCTCATCATTCAGGTAACTACTGCGTCACTTGTAGCTTTAATCTTCTTCGTTTAGGTATATGATGCTTGTTTCTTGAGCTATTCTATTTCAGATTTTCATTATTTTCTTTGTTTTTTTTTCTGTTTTGCAGAATCAGATTATTTTGTGTTATAAATGGGGTGTGTTCTAATTATACGTGTGACACTATTGTTTGTTGATAAAATTCTGTCCTTGGCACTTGTGTTACAGTAAGCTTCAGAGTGAGGCCGTTAGAGAAGCCATAACTATAATCAGAGGAAAATCCGAAGAGAAGAAACGCAACTTTGTGGAAACGCTCGAGCTCCAGATTGGTCTCAAGAATTACGACCCACAAAAGGACAAACGTTTCAGTGGTTCCGTCAAACTACCTCACATTCCCCGTCCCAAGATGAAGATCTGCATGCTCGGAGACGCCCAGCACGTCGAGGAGGCTGAGAAAATGGGGCTAGACTCTATGGATGTGGAGTCTCTCAAAAAGCTTAACAAGAACAAGAAGCTCGTCAAAAAGCTTGCCAAGAAGTACCATGCTTTCTTGGCCTCTGAATCCGTCATTAAACAGATTCCTCGTCTTCTTGGTCCTGGTCTCAACAAGGCAGGCAAGTTCCCAACGCTTGTGAGTCACCAGGAGTCGCTGGAGGGGAAGGTGAATGAAACTAAGGCTACAGTTAAGTTTCAGCTGAAGAAGGTTCTCTGTATGGGTGTTGCTGTTGGTAACCTTTCCATGGAAGAGAAGCATATCTTTCAGAATGTTCAGATGAGTGTTAACTTCCTCGTCTCTCTCTTGAAGAAAAACTGGCAAAACGTATGTGTTTGATTCCCACGATTCCATTTCTTTGATACCGTTTTCTTCACTATCTTAATTTGTTTGCCTTGTGAAACTTGTAGGTGAGGTGTTTGTATCTCAAGAGCACAATGGGACCACCACAGAGAATCTTCTGAGCTCTCTCAGCTTCAATGGCGGCTATATACACTTAGCCCTTTAGTTTTCATTTCAGACATATTTAAAAGGTTGTAAGAAGTGTGGTGTTGCAGTGACTTTGGTTGATGGATTTTGTAGATTATATTATCTTGAATTATTTGTTCATGAATATTCAACAAACAAATAGTGTTCTAAACGAAAAAATTATTTGCCAAAGCATAACATATCTCTCTCAATACGTTTCATTATATGTTTCAAACTGTACAAAAATTATTTTTTCTTTTTCCTTCAAAAATATTAGGACATCTTGGAAACTCATTTAGATTTTTTGCTATAAATTAATTTAAAAATCTACACTGAAAGAGATGGCGTCTGGGCCATACGAAATAGGGCCCAAGCCCAATGAAAAAGGCCTTAAACTATTACCAAACACCCATATCCTTTCTTTTTCCCCAACACGAAAGTGACCTCGTGAGTTCCAATAGAGTTTGCGCTTTCTTCTCCAACCCCCAAATCTGAGCTTTGCGTAAATCAGAATCCCTAGGGTTCTTCTTCCGATTTAGTGCCCAAACCAGATCGAACATCTGATCTTAAAGATGTCGCAGAACGGGAAGCTGATCCCACCGAATATGGATCAGAACAGTACGAGGCTCCTCAATCTCACAGTTCTCCAGCGACTCGATCCTTTCATTGAGGAAATCCTCATCACCGCCGCTCATGTCACTTTCTACGAATTCAACATCGAGATCAGTCAATGGGTAAGAGTTGCAAATCAGTCACTCGTATGAAACGTTTCCTTTTCTACCAACTGATCTGTTATCTATTTTTTTTTTGAAAACAATCAGAGTCGTAAGGATGTTGAAGGATCTTTGTTTGTTGTCAAAAGGTAAGTAAACTATGTGTGATGTTATTTGTGCTTAACTTCAATCGTTTAACATCTGATGATGGATTCATTTCAGAAATAAACAACCACGATTTCAGTTTATCGTGATGAATCGTCGAAATACAGGTCAGATTTGTTTCCGATTCGTTCTTATGAACTCGCTTCTCATTGATTCAGTTTATCCCTTTGTGACGATGTGCTAGCACAAGTAGTGAGTGATCTGTAACATTAACTAAGGGATTAGGATTAGGGAACGTTTAAATCCTCAGTAAATTTGGTTGATATTATCTTTGAGCTATTGATTATGGAATCACTATTAGTAATCATGAGTTTACTGTGTGGGCAGATAATCTGGTGGAAGATCTGCTGGGAGATTTTGAGTATGAAGTCCAAGGTCCTTATTTACTCTACCGTAATGCGTCTCAAGAAGTGAATGGCATTTGGTTCTACAATAAACGCGAATGTGAGGAGGTTGCTCGTCTTTTCGACAGGTGAATTATAGTTTATTACTGCATATTATCACCTAGAAATTGACTTTGTGTTTGGACGATCGTGAGAATAGAAGTAGATCCATAAATACACGTAGGTATCAAGTGTTTAATCACGATAGTTTCGCCTTATATGAAGATGCTTAGTTTTCTATTTATTTATTTCCATGATTCGTTGTATCTTCTTCTAATGTTTCCTTGGCATGACAGATTACTTAGTGCTTATTCCAAGGCAAACCAGAAGCCAAATACGTCATCTTCGAAAAGGTAAAGATCTTCATGTTTAGATTTAGACACTGCGCCATTAGTTGTTTTACATGAGACAGAAGCTTGATTATCTACATCACGGTTTTCAGGTGGTATCTTTCTTATATGTTAAATTGAGTTACATTTTTTTTCTGTGTACTGCAGCGAGTTTGAGGAATTGGAAGCTGTGCCTACAATGGCAGTTATGGATGGTCCTCTTGAACCATCTTCTACTGCTAGGGATGCCCCTAACGATCCTGCTTTTGTCAACTTCTTCAGCGTAAGTCTCTAAAAGCTTTTGCTACTTACTCACACTGTTGCCTTTATTATCATATATAGAATCATATACGACTAACGACAGGAAGGCTTTCTATCAGTTGTAGATTCTTGAATTATCGTTAACTTAGTAATCGGTCGAATTTAAATTAAGCCATTGATTTTCTTATTTTAAACTCCTGAGACTGTAAGGTTGAATTTATCAATAATGTTTTTTTTGGTTGACTACAGTCAGCGATGAATCTTGGTAACACTTCGAGTGGACCAGCAAGTGGACAACCGTACCAACAACCATCAGCAATTCCACTGCAACCTCACCAACCCACCAATTCCCCTCCTGCAGCGACAGCTACACCTCCACAGATATTATCACCACCACCTCTACAATCCTCCTCTCCTATGATGCCTCTCTTTGACAACAATCCTGATCTTATCAGCAGTATGTCCAATGTTCACACGAATCTGGTGACGCCGTCCTCGGTCTTTGGTCCTCCTCGGATGATGCCACAACCACACCTCATTCCTGGTTCATCTATTCCCACTACGCCTCCTCTGAACCTTAATAACACTACTCACCAGCAGCGTCCATATGGTACTCCGATGCTCCAGCCATTCCCACCACCTACTCCACCAGCATCACTCGCTCCTGCACACAGTGGCCCTGTTATCAATAGAGACAAAGTCAAAGAAGCCCTGTTAGCTCTGGTTCAGGTTTGTTCTTTTGCAACATTCACTTCTTGCTTAAGCTTATGCTCAAACCTAACGAGTTGCTTTTGACAGGAGAATGAATTCATCGACATGGTGACCCGAGCTTTACAAAATGCACATCAACCGTGAAGCTGAGCGGGGTGGGCGTCGTCTATGCATGGGGGTTTTGATGTAAGATATGTAGTTAAAAACGTAGTTTTGTTCTACTTTCGACCATTTCTTCTAGCCAAGTGTTATTCTCCCTCTCTCTTCAAACCTGAATGATACCTCTTTCTGTTAAACTAAAAGTTATTTTTTCGTACATACGATGTTCAAAATTACGTTTGATTGTTTCACAAATCTTTTACGCATTTAGAGTTTGAAATAATGATGAGTTACTGTTTATCCAATCATAGAAACACTTCTGTTGATAATTAATGAAACATCAAATATAGCACAAAGAAAGAAATCTTCTTTTTACTGATATTACACAGGGAACCAAGAGACAGAAGTACAAATGAAATAAGAGGAATAATTTCTCTCGAAGTAATCCTCGGTCCTGCCCTTAAACCCGATTTGTCCGAAGGTGAGACAAATGAATAGGCCCAAGTGCCACGTAACTAACCACAACCAGAACTGTGAGGTGAGAGCTGGAGGAGTTGGGAAGTGAGCGAGGTCAGTTCCTATTCTCTCAGAGAAGAGACCCGTCAGGCTCTTTCCGTTTATCACCGGAATACTCGACGGAGCTAACCACCCGATCAGTCCGAACCCCACCACGTTCAGATCTCTCCTCAACTAGTTCCTCTCAAAGCTTTTTTTCATTTGTCACACAAATAAACTCATTAGAGAAAAAAGAACCTAATGATATCTTAAGGAACAAGTCAAAGAGTGAGTAAACCACCAAGTGAATCTTCCTCCAGATGCTCCTGCTACTCTCAAAGTCAAAGGGTTCTTTGCACTTGATGTTGGTTTTATAAAGGCTGAAAACATCACCAGAGATTACAAATCATTATTATAATGTTGTAGTTCAATTATTCAGATGATCAAAAGAAAGAAAAGAGTACATGAAGAGAAGGCTTTGGTGTTGGTGGGAGAAACGGATGATCCTCCGAGACCTACCACTGTCGATGGTGTTGCAAATGTTGATGCCATTATTTTTCGCTGCTTCTTTCTCTCAAACCGATTTTCGATGTAAATACAGACACAAAAACAAAGAAATAGATTTGATTTTGTGGAAGGAGTGCAGGAAGAGATTTTAAATATGTGATCAACCATTAGCTTAGTGACACCTCACTCTTTTCTTTGATATTGTTGGTCTAGTTCTTAGATAAGTTATATTAAGTTTTTAAAAAAAAAATAAAAAATCATTCTCTAGTTTGTCATTTTAGTATGTGAATATGTGATTATATCATAAGTTATAATAAAATCATATGTACACTTTATTTGATTCTCCTAAGTTTCATTGTGATATTTAGCAAATTTTATGATTCTGTGAAATTTTGGAAATATAAATAATAATTAAAATTAAACAATTTTAAAATATATGTATATATATACTTTAATTTTAAATTTAATAATTTTCTGTACACATTGCCGGTATTATTATTTTTATTTTAATTAAAAAGGCAAATAAAATGGTTGGCCTAAAAACACCCAAAATAAATTAAATTGTATTTTATTATTTTTAATTATTAATAAGCTTGTTAGACATCATCACATCACTAAACCGACGCCTTAAAACTCAAATTCGAATCGAGAGAAGGGCTGGCGGGGGAAAATGGACTACAGCTTAGCGGCGGTGAAGATGCTAATCTCCCAGCTCCGTGACGCTAAACCCACGCCTTCTCAGAACGCCACCGCCCTAGGCGGTGTTCTTTTCCAACGCGCTTGGTTACAGGTTCCGATCTATCCAATCCTCTCATTCCTCACTTGTTTTTCCGATGACAATCACCGAAAATCTTGTATTCCAGGGCGTTTTGGTCTCCGATCCAGTAATCTCCGGTGGCCGTATGGTCTTAGATGACGGGACAGGTCTCGTCGAGCTAAGCCTCTCCAACGACTTTGCCCTCCGTCAATGGAAATCAGGTTTGGATTCAATTTTGATTTTGCTCAATGTATTACTGTTCGTATCATAATCTAAGTAAGTGCACAGGGATGTACCTGATGGTTGTTGGTGTATACCATATCCGTACGGGAGAGATGCCTCTGCTTAAGGTTTACTTCTCCCTCTGCAAATTTTAGGTCTTTGATATGCTTTCTCATATCAGTTTGTGAACGCTCTTGCTTAGGTAGAGTCTTTCAAGATTGTGTCAAACTGACCTTGTGATCATAGCATCTAAAATGCTCAACAAACTCTACTCTGTGCCAAGTCGTATTAACCGTACATCTAGGTTGTAGTTAGGCGTGGCATGACGAAGCAGTGTAATCACTAGTGATTAAGATTCATCTTCCCTTGCAATGTTGAAGTCTGAGAGTGTCATCAGAATCAACAGCCATCAGTTGTCATGCATTCACAATGCAATGCTTAGATTTTGTGCTTAAGTAGTGTGTGAACCCTCTTGCTTAAGTAGAGTCTCGTAAGATTGTCTCAGCCTAACCTTATCATAGCATCCAAAATGCTCAGTGAACTCTACTTTGTGCCAAGTTTCATAGAATATACATGTAGGTTGAAGCTAGGGGTGGCATGAAGAAGCAATATAAACCAATAGTGAATAAGTTTCATCTTCTCTTGTAATGTTAAAGATTGAGAATATCAATAGAATCAGTAGCCATCGGTTGTCATGCATTTACATGCAGTGTTTAGGTTTTGTGCTCTATAACTCACACCGTCAGTGTTGTTTGCTTCGACTGATTCTCCAGGTTCATAAGATGGTTGACCTGTCTGCAAGCCCAGATCGTGAAGCCATGTGGTATTTAGAAGTCATGGACGCATACAGACTCTTCTATCAGCCCTTGATTCAAGAGTTCTCTTGATTCTTTTAGCTATATCTTTTTACTCTCTAGAATTTCCTTCAGAGAACAACGACCAGTACATAGTCTCTTCTCATATTTTTTGGTTTTAGTTTTAACAGACCAGACTACTTTTGTCGGTAAAATCATTGGATCATGATATATATATATAGCTTTTGCTGTTTTACAAAACGCCACTCATGACTAGTAACACCTACAAAACTGCTCTACTTGTCCGAGAGACAAGTTAGAAATACCAAACAAGCTTAAACAGTTACTTCCATTACGACTTATAGCTCCTCTAAGTCGTGCCTTCCCTTCCTCATCCATACTCACCAGCTTAAGAATCTCTCTCACGCGAGGGAAGAAAGCACCAGGACGAACACAGTAAGGTTGAAACACCATCATAAGTGCCTCTGCATCCACCTCAAACCTTCTTCTCAGTAAAACAACTTTCCCTGCAAAAAACTTACAAGAAACATAATGGTCAAGCCCTTCCGCTAGATTCCTCCACAAGTCCAAGAAGTCTTTTCTGTTCATGTTTAACTGAAGAACAGAGAGTTCTCGTCTTAAACTGTCCAAAGCTTCTCCCACACCTCGGGACACTGTAATGACCTCCTCCTCCTCCTCCTCCTCCTCCTCCTCCCATGGCTCCACATTGTTGTTGAAGTGGTCATCACAAAGACTGTCGAATTGGTGAAGACAAACAGTTATAATCTCCATAAGCCAGTTTGTTTCCAACTCAACAAGACTTTTCAGTTCTTCACCAAAGAAGCAACCTTGACAGGAGGAAACTTCAGTTTCTCTACCAACTTTGACATTGGTTTCAGCAGCCCACATCTCTACAAAAACCAAATCATCACTCCATTCTCTTAGTTTCGATTCGAGATACCGAGCAGTATTCATCAATCCACAGGCTTGTACCAGTGACTCTTCAAACGAACTATAGTCAGAGAGATCAGTCTTCTTGAACTCCAGTAACATAATTTTGAATATATACCAGAGCAATTTAGTGGCAGTAGCTCTTACAAACTGGATCCTTGGTAGAATGGTTGGTATAGATAAACCATGGTCTATCAACGTCCAAGTCCTACTAATAAAAGAGTCTGCTACTAACGGCGCTTTATAATCTTCTCTTGTAGACAGAACATACTTTGCAGACTGCGAGTTTGATTCATTACCAAGTCTAGTTCCCTCACTACCAACCACCCAAGCTTTCTCCTTCTTGATATCCTCTTTAAGTTTTCTATAAGCATCCTTCAGCTCAATCTTCCCCCACGTCTTGAGCCATTCAGGTCTCTTACAAAACAGTCCCATTACCGACATACCTTGAGAAAACGCTACCGAGGAGGAGCCTTCGTAAGAAAGACAAGTGTCTGAATTCACAAATGTTTGCATCCGTTTATCAAATGTAACCATCTGATCAACAAGATGGAACCAAGACGAAGTACCTTCAGATTTCATGTCTTTTTCCTTGACCATCTCTATAAGCCTAGGAAAGATTTTTTTCTCTAAAAAACAGGATAGCATCTGGACCATAGCTGAAACCCAAGCCTCTTTAGCACTACAGCTAACTAACATAGCTCTGTCAATCAAAGGCTGTAAGAAATCATCAACCCCATCAGCAAACTCGCTTGTAACTTTATAAACAAGTGCAAAGATAAACTCAGGCTCTTCATCCCATTTCATGAAGTGATACTCCATCCGAGACGCAACGGGTATCACCAGTTCATCGATTGCCCAAAGACCAACACCACTACTTTCTTTATAAAGCTTCTTCCGTTTTTCCTTTAACGTGTTAAGTTGCTGTAAACCACAGAGGAGAAGAAAGCTTTGGGAATAAGATTCCTTTTGATCTCCTTGCATCAGTACTAGAGGATTAGGGATACTATTACTAGCAGCTTCTCCTCCCTCACCTTTGGATAATGCCAGTTTTGGTGGCCAGCCAAGAGATGAAAGAAAAGCTCGGTGGTCTGCGATAATCTGTGGCCTTAGAATTGATAAGCTTTTATCTACTCTACTATCAACGGTATCTACAAGGCGTTGCCATTGTGAGTGATGCCTTGTAACATCACCAAGCACTTGTTCAATCTCATTCATGGTCTTAATGGTATGGTTGAGTCTCTCCTGCATTTAAAGATAAAAAGTATAAAGCTTTCTTCATATACTAACTAGCCAGGACTTAATATAGTAGTGTTCTAAAAATTGGTCTAGGTGTTAAATGAAACAATTTTTTTCTTAAAAATCAGTTAAGATGCTCAAATCATTGGTAATCAATAATCCGATATAAAGCGCTTAACTAACGCCTAACGATTTCTTGAACATTGCTATATAGTAACTAAAACTGATACTAGTGGAATTCAAAAAAGCTTTACTTGAAGCATACTTCTTCCTCTCATAGGATGAAACACTGAATCTTCAAGATCTCCAACAAGACTTTCCAACTTTAACACAGTCACTGTAATAAAAATTTGTTTTATCAGCTTTTACCTCTCCTGGAAGCAAAACATACTAAACAGTAACTTTAAGATGAAATACAAAGAACCAATGCCACAACTCACTGAGATAATTGCGCCTGTTCTGAATCTGACACAACTCCTCAACAAGTTGCTCTAACTCCCGATCCCTTTGCTTTCTAACTGCATCCCTACTCCGAGCTACAAATAAAAATTAGAGGCAATCAGAAAAAAAAAATAAAAACTAATAAGCACACGAAGGGTTTGAGTCCCTGACGGAGAGAAGTAACGAGACAGAGGCTTTCGAGGCTTAATCTCAGATTATCGAGTGAGTTTTTAGCGGAGAGAGAGGTGGAGATCCAAGAGACAGCGTGTTTCGTTAGATCCATACGGAGATGGAGAAGGCGGTCGTTTAGATTAGAAGTGTCTTGTTTTAGATGAGACTTTAGTTGAGAAGCGTGTAAGAGGAGATCTCGTAGGTCTTCAAAGTTACCATCGAGAAGGCTTAACGATGCACCGGAAAGTTTCTCCGGATGTGGTAACACAAGCGACATTGGACGAGGATGTTGTTCCATGGTGGGAAGAGTTTTGGCCGGCGAGGTTTCGTGTCGGAACTTTGAAACTGTTTTGGTAAATTAAATAGTTTTCTAGTTTGTAATTACTATTTTACCCCTCGTAAAAATATACTCCCGTTTAAGAAAAGGGAATAAAAATCGAAACTTAATAGCATATGATTTAAGAATCCAAAGACAAAGAGGGTGATTAGTTGGACATGTAGAAATTTTACTCTTGATTTTTTTGATGTAATTGTATATAATGTAACTGTAGAAATTAAATGAGAAAAATATAAAAAATAAAGATATTTCTATAATAATATTTTTTTGCTTTAGAAAATAAGATTACTACAACCAGTTTTTAAATTTTTTGACTTTATCTTTAAAAATTACTTAAAGCATAATTAGTGATTTAAATAATTGTAGATAAAAATTAAAACTAAAGGCTACAAGAACTTCCACTCTGTAAAGCTTCTCTATTGTGTGACTTGTGTCTGTTGATTTAAATAGACATTTTGTAGCTCAACTTGCACTCTCTAATGTGTTTTTTTTTTGGCAACATTTTATTAACAGAGACACGAGTTCTCTAGATCAAGTACTATAGCAGCTGAAGAATGGAGAGAGCAACAGAAGATAGAGGAGGCTTTACATGCCCAGAAATCTTCAAGTTCCTCGGTGGCACGTTGTTTTAATTCTGTATTGATTTTTTTTCTTTTGCAATAACTCTGAGATTGAGTATCATTTTCTTTTTCTTTTTCTTTATATTCGTCATATTCAGACCTCCGTGGACAAATGAAATGTCAGTGGAAGAACTTGATGCTAATAATGAGAAACAAGCTTTTCTTAATTGACGCCGGATGTTTGTGAGGTTAGCTTTTTGTTTTACCCATATCTTACTGATCAGAGAGTTTTGTTTATCTGTTACTGAAATGCGTTTTGGTGGATAATTTAGATGGGAAAACTAATTCACTTATGTCACATAAAGTGCATTTATCTTTAAAAACTATCTTGCACATGTGTCGTCTTATTGAGAAGGTCGAAACAAGCTGAGGAAAACTCATTCATATATTAATTCATCCCACGATATATCTCTTCTTCAATTTTCTACTGTAAGTGATATTGTGCTTTGGTAATATTCGTATAATTTATGCGTGTCTTTCGTTAAAAAAAAAAACATTAGCTAGATAGAGTTTAATGTTTGACACCTTGAAGCAATTCCTAGGCGTCCAACTCACATAACTTTAAACTCCACTTGACAATCTATATCACTTAACCTTAAAGATTCGTCTTGACTCCTGACACAGGCACATGCTCGAGAAATCGATGAGCATAAAACAAATATGATGCTTAATTCTAGTTAACAAGGGGGATCTTTTTTACCTCCTTCTGTCATGTAAGCCTCCTCTGCCTTGCTACTTCACCTCCAACCTTTTCTTTTGTCTTCTAATCAAACTGGTTTGCTTCTTTACATATCGGTAGCGAGCAAGCTCCTGGTACGGACGATGTGCTAGGGTTTCGATCTTAACCCTGAAGTAGCGAGCAGAGAGAGTTTTGGTAGCGATCTGTAGAGTTTATTCGTTCGAGCTTTTCCATTTTTATTTATCTGTATCATATAGACATTGGGACTGTGTAATTTTGTATTGTTTTATTAGCTCATAAGTTTGTAACGTTTGTGTTCATAATCTCATGTTTATGAGCGTTTTACAAAATGATTAATTTGGTACCAGATTTCATAAAATTATAGAGCTCAGACATCGTATGCAGCAAGTCCGAATGGTGAAAAGAAGAATGTATAATAACAAAATTAGAGAGATCAGTTTTATTGATCTTTGATTACACGAGTATATCCCAAGTGTTGCGAATGTGTAACTTTACATATAAAATGTAACTAGATCATAATCCGCCCGACTGGACGGGTATTTGTTTTTATGATATATATAAACATTTTAAAAATTACAATCTAATGGTTCTAATTTTACTAAGGAATAGTATACTGTTTAAACATTGTATTTCATTATTGTATTGTGTAATATGAGCATCGTAAAATGTTGTGACTCGTAAACATTTTATTAATAGTTTATAAAGTTTTTTGGGCTAAATTTGGTGCAAAGTTATATACATTAAACAATTTAGTCAAATTTTTAAGTTAATTTTTAATGAAGACTTGGAAAGTTAGTATATCACTGTTAAAAACTTATAACAAAAGTCAATATAAATTATATAAATAAAATATATATTATTCTTGATTTATTCTAAATATATTTAAAAATTGAATAGATATATGTATAAATAATTTTCAGAAATAAAGTAATATCAATGATAGAAAATCCAAAAAAAATAATAATGGTACTTTGGGCCGCATTAATCTTTAGTTTAATAAAAAAACCCATTAGGTTTATATACTATCCATGTTTCCAATCAAAATTTTTTTTAAAAAATATTCATGTTTCCAAATACTTCATTTTTGTACTTCAGCTTTAATAGTATACTAGATTTTAACCCGCGATTGAAAAGCGCGGAAATTTTTTATGATTAAAAATTTATATAATTGGGTTTTGTCTTAATTTAAAGAATGTTTTGGTATAAAATTAGTTTACCAAAATTTGTGGTGATAGTTGTTTTTCATTAGTTTTTAGTTTCAGTTTTTATTTTTAGATTTTGTTTTAAATTTTGGTTTTTGGTTTTTTAGTTTTTTAGTTTTTAAGTTTCTATTTTTTGATTTTCAGCTTTTGGTTTAGGTTTTTAATTTTTAGACCCGCTGAGTTAGTTTGAACTGATATTACCAACAAACAAATCTCAATTAATCGAACATGTAATTTAAAACTGAAAAGATGACAAAATAATTTTCTAAAGTTTTTGAAATATTTTATTTTGTAAATAAAAGAAGCAAAAAATATAACCTGCGTTTTCAGCTTTTGGTTTTGGATTTTAGTTTTTAGATTTGGTTTTTGGTTTTGTTTTACATTTTTTTTAAATCCGTAAATTATTTAAGAAAAATAAAACAATAAATTATTTAAATTTTACCATTAAATTTATCAAGATAGAGTGATTGTTATTTAAAATAAAAAATATTAACATTTTTTAAAGTACATGATTTAAATAAGTGATTAATAATAGATACTTTTGTTTGTTTGAAAATATTAAATATTTTTGGGCTAAAAATATTAACATGTTTGAAAGTACATAATTTAAATAAGTGATTAAGAATAGATAATTTTGTTTTGTTGAAAATATTAAATATTTTTGGGTTAAAAAATATTAACATGTTTTAAAGTACATAATTTAAATAAGTGATTAATAATAGAAATTTTGTTTTCTTGAAAATATTAAATATTTTTGGGCCTGAAAATAGTAATTGATTTTTGATCCATTAAGGTGGAAAGTTTATTTAATATTTTTTTGGAGTTTTTCTTTAATACTAAGCCCAAAAACCAAATAATTAAATGTCATAAAAACAAAAACAAGCCCAAAACTCTATTCCATAAATAACCGCCGGTTTAATTTAAGTAATGTGGTTCAATCAACTATATAACTTGTATTATTTGTAACACTCTAGAAAGAGTCCAAATTTAAATGATAACCTGTATAAGTAGATAAAAAGAATGACCATATTTTAATAGAATAGATGTGAAAAAGGGTCTTATTGGTCTTTTGTAACTAAAGTTTTCTTATTCTCAAAATGAAATAAAAATAATCTTGGGCAAAACGAAAAAAAAGAAAAGAAATAGAAATAATGCAAAAAGGTGCTTTATACTAGGGCAATGAGTTCCGTACGTTGGTGACAACTTGGCACGGGCAAGGGCTAAGTGTAACTTGCACCATCCGCTAGCTACTCCCGCGTTCTTACCATAATCTTTCTTTCCGTTTTCAGTTTAATATAATCTCTAACGATGTTGATACATATATCTCCTAATCTTTATGTCGGTTTTAGTTAAGAAAAAGAAAATACTAGTGGATATGGTCAGTATACGGAAATGAAAAAGTTAAGACAAGTAGTCAAATAAGCAAAGTTAGGTCTAAAATTGGTGTAGCATTATATATATTCGTGGAAATTAATTCGCTGAAAACCATTTGTGATTGAGCAAATTGACGGAATACCCTAATAGGAGGATACATGAGAAACTGACCATCTTTTTATTTGGAGTTTTTCATGAATCATGATTAGTCATGTCAATAGCATAACAACCTAATAGAATGTTTGTTTCATTATATTTGGTCTCTCCACAAATATCAATAATTTGAAATTGTAAGATTACTTCTCAAATTATTTTTAGATCGTGTTCAAAAATTTTTATCGTATATTTAACAAACTATCGAAGTAAATTTTAAAGTTAATAACTTCGTTTGATTTTATTTTTAAAATTATAAGCTTTAAATTTAGTAATATATCTAAAAAATTTCAAAATACTATAATTTTTCTCTATTTTAAAAAATAAATTTAATTTTGTATTCTTATACTAAAGGTTCTATTTGCACATGCTGTTAGACGATTCTGATATTTGATTTGATGCATACATTTGAAATTAATCAGTTTCACACTGCCTTCGGGAGCATTATACAGAGAGATACACGTTTTACAGTTTGAGGTTATGTGATCTATAGCTGATTTATTTATATGTAACTTAAAACGTGAATGTCAAGTTTAGTGTAACTTTTACATTTAACTATTTTTAACCAATTCGACAAAAAATATTTTATATATTACGTACTTTTTATAATGTATTCTAATCATTAGAGAATTGAATTTTTTTGGGAAGTTATTTTTTCAAGTTCTGAAAACAAATTTTATGTGTGTTAAATGAAGATAAAATGTAAAGGGCTGTGAATTACACACATATATAACACTGATTTTAAAAGGCATATCAACTTTGAAATATATATCAAATGCTGGAAAGCACTAATAATTTGTTTATATAAAGAATTTCCTTGGGCGTGCCCTTTTATTGGCAATTATGGAAAAAAATTAACAATGAGAAGTAAAGCATTGCTAGCTACAAATGGCTCTGCTTTTAATTTTCGGATCAACTCAGCAACAAAGTAGAATTTGGTTACGTAAGTACTCTATGCCTCGAAGGCTTTAATTAATATAATAAGACTCTTGTCTCTAATTAAAATATGATTTTCATTTTGAATTTGTTTAACCCTCAAAGTTCGAAGTACAACGCACCAAATATTTATTTTTAATCATATAAAAAAACATTTCACGGGTCCCAATCCTGGATAGGTGTCTCTGTTGCTCTTTATAAATAACATCGACCCATCGAGAGAAAACAACATGTCATCTCCTACTTCCTCTGCTTCGGAACTAGTTAAGAGAATCAAAACACTTGAGAGGTGAGTGGTCATTAAAAGTTGTAGTGATGGAGAAAGTGAGAGAAATTGTGAGAGAAGGGAGGAGAGTAGGAAAAGAAGACCCAAGAAGAGTAGTTCATGCTTTCAAAGTTGGACTCGCTCTTGCTTTGGTCTCTTCCTTCTACTATTACCAACCTCTCTATGATAACTTCGGTGTCAATGCAATGTGGGCGGTCATGACCGTAGTAGTCGTCTTCGAATTCTCTGTAGGTCAGTCCGATATGTGACCAGAATCAGCCTCTTTCTAACGTTTGAAGATGCCTAACATTCAGGGACCAAGTAGAAAATGGTCTAGTTGTATTGGTATTGTTGCTATAATCGTATATTTAACTTTGGTTTGGTGTGTACATAGGTGCCACACTAGGGAAAGGAATAAATAGGGCAGTGGCAACATTAGTAGCTGGAGGACTGGGAATTGGAGCTCATCACCTAGCAAGTTTGTCTGGTCCAACAATAGAACCTATTCTGCTCGCCATCTTTGTCTTTGTGCAAGGTAACTCTCATTATGACATTCTTACTATTTTGCTTTGGTACCAAAATTTTTTGGCCTTTGCTCCATAATCTCCACCATAACATATATTTTCTTTATGTTTCAAATATATCTATTTTTTTTAAAGATAAGTATTTCATATTTTTAGTCATTTTTATTAGTTAATAATTATAAACAAACTTCAAAGATTAAGTGTACTTATAAAATACTGTTGAACTTAAATGATTGCAAATTAGGAAATATAAAATAAGACATTTATTATCAAAATTTAATATATTTTTTAATTATGTTTAAAAACATATAAACATACAAAAACAGAGAGATTATTAGTTTAGTGTCGTCCTCCAGACGAACTTCATGCTTTTGGGATACGCTAGGCGAACTACATGATAAGACTCATATTAATATATGATATATTTTAAAGATCTAGAAGAAAGAGCAAGGACTAAATGCATGGTAATATATGTATATGCAGCTGCGTTGTCGACGTTCGTGAGATTCTTCCCGCGAGTGAAGGCGAGATATGATTATGGGATACTGATATTCATATTGACGTTCTCACTGATATCAGTGTCCGGGTTTAGAGAGGATGAGATATTGGACTTGGCCCATAAGAGACTATCGACAGTGATAATGGGAGGAGTCAGTTGCGTCTTAATCTCTATCTTTGTCTGTCCTGTCTGGGCTGGACAAGACCTTCATTCTCTTCTTGCCTCCAATCTTGACACACTCTCCCACTTCCTTCAAGGTTTTTTTCTTTCCTAATTATAATTCATTATGTATATAGTTATTAACACCTCAAAATACAACTTCTCCAAAAAAATTTCCCACAACTGGTTTATGAAGTTCCAAACTTGTAGGATATTTTAAAGTGTTTGTGTAGTACATGCGAAAAATAAAAAGATTGTGGTATTTCTAACAACATATATGATCATGAATTAAAAAGTTTTAACTTGGCAGAATTTGGAGACGAGTATTTTGAAGTGACAAATGATGGGGACATCAAAGAGGTTGAGAAGAGGAGAAGGAATCTTGAAAGATATAAAAGTGTTCTCAACTCAAAAAGCAATGAGGAAGCTTTGGTGGGTAGTGTACTCCTGGCTTCACTTTTATAACTATACCCTTTTTGCAATAACTTTGTATTGATGATGATCTATTGTTAATTTGTACTTAGGCTAATTTCGCAAAATGGGAACCTCGTCACGGTCAATTTAGATTTAGGCATCCATGGCAACAATATCTTGCCGTGGCTGCATTACTCAGGCAGTGTGCCTACCGGATTGATGCATTGAACTCATATCTTAACTCTGATCTTCAGGTATATAGATAGCACTTTCAAATATATAAAAAATTAAAAACCAATATATTATAAATATCTATAGTATAAACAAAACATAATGGTAAAAACTCAGTCTATGTTTTAGTATACTACATGCTTTTAATATGAAATTTATGCATAACAATATGTTCTTTTTTTCCCCTTCTTTTCTGTTAGATTCCAATGGACCTAAAAAAGAAGCTAGAAGAACCATTAAGAAGAATGAGTTCGGAGTCAGGAAAATCATTTAAAGAAATGTCCATTTCACTAAAGAAAATGACAAAATCATCTTCTGCCGATATCCATGTCCTAAACTCACAATCTGCTTGCAAAGCTCTTTCTACTTTACTCAAATCAGGCATCTTGAACGATGTTGAGCCACTACGAATGATCTCATTGATGACTACAGTCTCTCTTCTCATCGATATTGTTGATCTGACCGAAAAGATCTCAGAATCTGTACTTGAGCTCGCATCCGCTGCAAGATTTAAGAACAAGATAAAGCCGACCGTGACATTGAAGAAGTCGGATTCTGTAAGCACCCGTGCCATGCCAAGCAAGTCTCGCGATCGTGATGATCATGTTGTCACAATCTTATGTGATGCTGATGTATCAAATACTGTTGACAAGTCGTGTGGAGAGAGTTCAGTGGACTCTTCTCACCAGGTCGCCATAAAGATTGATGATGATGAAGATGATTCAGTCTATGAAAAACATGAAGATGGTGAAATACATGTACATACGAATTGTGTATCATGTGGTCCATCTCATGCTAGTGATGTTTTAGATAGTAGTAATGAGAGAATTAGCAGTAACTAACTATTTATTTTATAATTTAGGGGTGTCGGGGATGGGACTAATGGTGAATATTAAATAAAGTTCTATTGAACAAGATTTCATTTTAGTCTAACTCTACCATGTATTTTCTATGTTGTCGTTGTTATATTCAACTAAATTTCAATAAATTAAAATGTGTCACGTCATATCTTGATACATCTCGATATCAAATAAGTAATGTACTATATATACTGAATCTAAAATAATACGAAAAAACTCTGTTTATCATAAACTAGAATAAGTATGTGTATCCGTCATTCAATTTTCCGAAATTGCGAAGTTAGGCTTTCATGTTTTTTTCAGTAACAGAAAGTTTTTGTTTTGTCACTCCACGGATCAAATTGTCCATTAAAAACAATGTTATTTAACAAATAATAAAATTAGAGATTATATATTACTTCATAATTATTTAAGTGTTAAAAATAGTAAAGTAATTAGAAAAGTGTTATGCATATGTTGCGTTGCACATAGACGCCAGATACGAATATCCGTAGAGAAAAAAGGTAGAATCATTCTTATATAGATTACGAATTATGTTGCTTGATATATATGCTTTGCAAGCAAACAAACAAAAAAAAAATAATAATAATAATAATAATAATAATAATGATAATGATATATGCGTTATGTCTTCCAAAGTTTTAATAAGACAAAGAGATATTTTTGTCCATGAAAAATTGATTGGTAAGTGCTATTGCGATATGTCATTATTAAACCCTACGAAAATGGTTAAAGGAGGCATGTTCTCGTAAACTCACGGGCTCGTGCTCCTTTGTCTATTGCCTCTGTGTTTAATTTTCAACTAACTTTTTCAAACCTTGAACAAAATGGCGGGCAAGTTAAAGTGGAGGGTAAGTTAATCAGCATTAGGTATTTGTCTCCATTATTAAACTTCAATCCTTTTAAAAAATATTTTGTACGAAGATCCGTTATCTATTCGTTGAAATATGCTTTCAACTGGAAACATGTAATATATATTTCATAGTTTTATACATAAATTAAAAAAAAAAAAAAAACACATATAGTCTATTAATTGTGTCAGTGTTTTTTTTTATTTTTCTGTCAGTGTTGTTATTGTACATATTGCATATTGCTAACGAAATAAAACTGTAGAATAGATCTCAGCATCTTGTTTTAACATTTTATTTTATTGAAACTGGTTTAAAACATATTTATCATAAAGAAATATGATCAATAAAAAATAATAAGAAAGTAATGGTTTTCTTTACTGAAAACTAAGCATTGCTCCTGTCATGCCAATCAAATCTCCCGATGGTGGTGATCATGTTGTCACATCTTATGTGATGATGATATATCAAACACTGTTGAGCACCAAATCAACAAGTATATGGCTAGAGTCGCTAAATCAACAAATCAGTTTCTCCTAGGTGATAAATGAACTATGAAATAAGGGAACGGGCTCTCTCACATGAGCTAGGCTCAACAAGTATTTGGGTCCAAAGATAATAGATTACGAAATCATATGACCACTTGGTCATGTAGAATTTTCACAGAAAATAGGGTATGATGAAGTCAAAAACATAAGTCCTCCCATTTATGTTATGCCATGTTTCTCATGCCCAGAATATTTTTTCTCAAACTTCCACTAGTATTCTTGTAGTGCCACTATAAATTTCCAGTTGATTGTGGTGATAATATTAATAGTCGATCACTATTAAGTGGCATGTAATAAAAAAAATTGGGAGAAGGAATTAGATTTAACATCTTTCAGAGGCTCTCCTCAAGGAAGAAAGAACTCTATCGCAACACTCAGAAAATTAAACTTGATCAACGGCCTATGTTAGGAAAGCTCGAAATAATTCCCCCCACTTAGGTCTGAAAAGACTGACTACAATCAGTCTCCAACAACATTCAGGTACGCACAACGCACTAGACCACCATTAGTGGTGATTTCTACATACAATCTATATAAAATATAATAAAGTAGGAAACAGATTAAGAAAAAAACAAGAGAAATGGTCTTTGGTAAAGAATCGTTGCATACATGGGAAGAGATTATTTCCAGAGGAACAACACTTGGATTAACTACCATGATGAATATTCAAATTCATCTTATCTTTTGTCACCAATCAAAATGACATACTCCCTCCCTTTCTTAATAAATGACATTTTGACAATTTTTCACACAAATTAAAATATGTGTAAGTTGATATTATTTACATCTTTTGGTCAATAGTATTTGAGATAAATAGAACTATCTATATAATCAATACAATTTGTAATTAATATTCAGTTAAAAGTAAGTATATTTTGTATTGAGATTTTAAAGTGACACTTTTTATGTAACCAAAAAAGTGTTAAAATGACACTTATTATAAAACAGAGAGAGTATCATATTACAAAAAAATATTAAAATTAAAAAAAATGACAATGATAATAATAATGTTAATATTTAAACTCTAAACCATAAATTTAAATTCTAAACCCTAAATTAAAACCTAAATCTAAACTCTAATATACATGCATAAAGAATTGTGAGAGAGAGACATAACAATACTTAGGTTCATCCCATATGGTGAATTCTCAAATCCACCTTAATTCTTAATGCCAATCAAAATGTCATATATGATTAGTAAAAAAAAAACAAAGTTAAAAAAAAAAAAGAAGTGAAAAAGATGTCGACTAGTGTTTTTGTAACGCCATCCATGGCTTCTTTTCCTTCATCAACCCCACACAATATTGAAAGCTTTGTTTGTCAAATTGGAGTCTACAATCATATGTCCTTATACCCTTAATCTAATTCTATAGCCTAAATCCAAACCCAAATTTTAGATCCTAAACTCTAAACCCAAACTCTAGATTTTAAATTCTAAAGGAATGTCGATCTTAACACTAAACCCTATACCCTTAACTCTAAATCTTAATATTAAACCCTAAACTCAAACTCTAGATCTTGAATCCAAATATAAAATCCTAAAGAAACATTAAATCCCAAATTTTAAATCCTAAACCCTAGATCCTAATTCTAGACACTAACTAGAAATTGGAATTGAAAACAGAGGATCGTAGACTCCAATTTGACAAGTAAAACTTTCACTATTCTCTGTGGGTGATGAATACGAAAAATTCATGGAAGGCATTAGCAAAACACACATTCCCTTTTCACCTTTTTTTCCTTTTTTTTAATTTGTTTTTTTTGTTAATCTTATATGGCATCTTGATTGATACTAGTGAACCCAAGTTTTTTCCCTTCATCAATACGGATGCTCTAACAATACCCAAAATTCAACAATAATTAAAGCTCTAATTAAAATTAAAATGAATACTATTTTAAGGATGTCAAAAGAATAAATATTACTTCTATTTAAAGCAGTCACTGGAATCCAATGGTGTGTGTCACGTTATAAAAGTCAGGGTTAACACTTTAATAGACAACTTCACTTATCATGAGTGCTCCACTTACGTATCAAAAAGCTCTTGAGATGCACCGTGCACCATCGCCTTCAGGCTTTCCGCAATTAATATTTTATTAATTGAATACTAATCCCATATTTAAATCCTTTTTAAAATGTTAAGGACGTTCCAGATTAAACGAACCACTAAAGAAGAAACAAACAAAAGTCTAGTGATAACGACTTTAATGCGTATCGAGTCAATAGAAGTTTTCTACTACTTGCTAAAAGTCTCTGCTGATGTGATATTAACCGTACAATTAAAGTGGCAAAAGGTACACTTATTATTTCTGCCCAACAAATATAAAAATGCGTTCAAATTTCTTTTTGACTTTCGTGTACGTTTTCACTGAATAGATTATCATAAAGTGTTTTACTGTTTACCATTAGGGACACAAATAGATGAATTTTTCATCGGTTAGGTAGAATAGCAGCACCTCACTATCTCTCTTATTGAATTGTGTCTCAATAGTCCACGTAAATGAAAAACATTTCCCTCTTACCGGATCTTAAGGCCTTTTGTAAGGCCCTTTAAACACAAAATAAGACGGGTCTGTAAATATTTTGTTCTTTCTCGTTTAGAACATCCGCCATGGAAAATTCTTAAGAGGAATCCTTAAAAAAATAATAATTAAATAATCAATGATTCCCATAAAAAATTAAGGATTAATCTTTAAAAATCTGTAAATAAAGACTGGTTCTTAACGAATCCTTACACTATTTACATGCCTACACGATACGTGTTGATCTACGATTGGTTGATATTTATTTATTTTTATCTGAAAAATAATAATAATTAAAAAATCAAAACTTAAGAATATTTTAAGGATAACATCATTGCGGGTGCTCTTACATTTTTTTTGTTTTTGATGTCTTTGCTTCGAATATGTTCAATGTTTCGACATGTGGGGAAGTCTATGATATTAAGAATTCTCGCGGCTATTCTAATTTTCTTTTGAGTTGCTATGTTCTCGTCCTTTTGCTAACATTTGGTACCACTATGTCTGAGCATTTTTCTCGAAAACCTAAACTGGAACCGACCTGAAAATACTCGACCCGAAATCAAACCGAAAATTTACAAGTACTTATTAGATTTAAAACTCTAGAACCTAAAGGAATCTAGACCCGCAAAAAATTGACTCGAATAGATCCGGAATCGAAAAGAACCGACTTGAATAGACTCGACCCGATAAGAACCGATTTATACCCAACTTAATAACATGAATATCCAAAATATAATTTTCTGTGTTCTATTTTTTCTATTTTATTTTATGATCTACTTGAAATATCTTTTTGCTAACAAACTCTTTTTATTATTTTTATAACATTTTAAGTAATTTGAGATTTTAAATGTAAAATTTAAAGTTGAAAAATATTTAATTTTAGTTATTAATAGTTTATATAAGTTATTTTATAAGAATATATATATATATATATGATAGATTTTGACTAAATTTGATGGAATTGGGTATTTGGTATCTTTTTCATATCCTTAATACTCATATCCAAAAAGAATTGATCCGAATCCCAACCAAAAATTTACAAGTATCTATTAGATCTAAAATTCTAAGACTGGAAGAAATCTGAACTTTAAAAGAACCGAGCCAAACTCGACCTGAAGACCCGAATAGCCAGAGCTAGATACCATCATGGAATGTTTTCGATGTGATATTGTTAACAAAATCGACAAGGCCCAATTATTCAATTAATATGTATACTAAATAAAGTTTTTAAAACATCTTGGGCTTCCACACAAGACCCTGGATTTCGGTGAGCCGGGCTTGCATTCTATTTAACATAAAAGTAAATCATTTTTGTTTTTGACAATTTGTTCTCACTCAATGACCGAGACATGTTTTTTGTTTTTTTGCTCTTCTTGTCACTGTCCGAAATCCAATCAGTCTAAAATTGCAAACTCTTGTTTCCAAAAATGGATAAAATAAAAATGACAGCACAGAAAATCACCAAGTATTAAAGGAAATTAGTTTCAATAACCATAAATTTGTTATAATTATTAGTCTAATCAAAAAATAATTCACCATAAAATTTTCGATATAGAGTAGATCTTAACCAATGCATGTATTGTGTGTATAACATGATTTTTCTCTAAAATCCTATCAAACCAAGCAAATATATAGTCGTGCGGATAGTTGTAGGAATTAGCGGCATCTTAACCAATGCATGTCTAATTCGTGGGAATGTGAGTTCACGAATTCTCACGACATTTTGTATCCAAATCACGTAAATTGTTAGACAAATATTTGATCTGGTTTTAATTTATAACAACAGAACTCTTCTCAATATTATGTTACATGATCAAAGTTAGATTGATATTTTGTTTGACAAAACAAAATTTAGACAGAAAGATGAATTAACATGGTTTGATAAAAAAAAAAGGAAAATTGGAAAATTGTGACACTTTGAACTTTTATTTGTCCATATAGAACTTCTCATACTTTTGGCAATTCTGGACATGTTTTACCCTTTATTAATGAAAAAATAGTAAACTAATTTTGAAAAATAGAAAAAATATGAGAAGGTTAGAAAACATAAGTATGACAACATATATGTTTAAGTTTTTATTTTTTAAAAGTGGAATCATAGTTTATTTTATCTTCTAGCTACAGATAGAATACTCGTTCTGGTTATCTACTCATATTAGAAATCATATAATGGGTGTTCTTGCTAGATAGACCCGAGGTATGAAACGTAATATAACATTTCTTGTCTATTCTAACCAAGGTAGTATTGGTAACATTATAATCAAGGCATATGTCTTTGGAGTACGTGAAGCTAGATACCGATTTATAACCATAACTTATTGATATACCTCATCCAGATTTTGTGCCATAACCAATTCATCATGTTACCTTATGTGACGCTTGATAAAGAATACGTTTCCCACCTTTTCTACCGTGTTAGGTAGTATATACATATTCTAGGTAATCCGCAAAATATGGAAATTTTCATATTCGGTTGAAGATGTTTCCTAAATATCTTAAAGAATATTTTGTCCACGATTTTCTCTCTTCCTCACGGGATCGATCGATCCCAGAAAGAGTCGGTCGATCTCGATGATTAAACAAAAACATAAAAAAGCACGGAGCAGAAACTGATCGATCTTATCATGTTCAATCGATCTTCACCGATCAATCTATCATAGATCGATCGATCTCTATTTTAGATCGATCGATCCCGATCCCAGATAATAGAAACGAACCGAAAATAACCAAAGATTTCTCTTTGAATCAGTTTTGATCCTCGGGTGTGTTGAATTGTCACATAATTATGTCAGAGAGAATGCGGAATCGCCATGGGAGAGAGCTAGGCGGAGAAGATGATGTAAAACAAAATTAGGGTTATCGATTTCCTTTGTACTTTGTGTCCCGATTCTTGTTTTTTTTTGTTTTTTTTTGTTTTTTTTTGTTTTTTTTTTGTTTTGTTATTTTTATTTATAATTTAAATTTATAATTCCCCTTAATTGATTAATTTAAAGGGTATTATGGTATTAACAGATTTGAAAATCCTATTTTCCCAAAAAAGTTTCTAAGTCTTATAGGGACAAATTCAAGTTGAGAGTGTCCTAATTTTCCAATTTTATCTAAAAAAAATGATTACCATGTAAAATCATTATATATTCATAAATGATAAATGATGTTGAATTTCCTAGACCAATAGTGGAAGAGATTGTGGATAATGGATCGCGTAGACAATAAATTGTGAAATTTTTCCTAGAACATTGATTTTTTGAAACAGAGGGAGTATAACCATTCTAATGATGTCATATACTTGAGGGGCACACCTTCATTTGGTGAAATGCCACACAAATCGTCAAAAAAGTTGATCAATTTAAATATATGCATCTCGCTGACTTTTTTTTTTTTGAAAAAAAATGCATCTCGCTGACTTGCATAGATACATATTTCATAAACTAGCTCTCGTGATGTCATATACTTATACTTACGAACATTTTCATTTGTTGAATGACAAGATACATCAATCGTCTATCAATGAAAATATACATTTCTTTCCTCGCATATCGATATTTCATAAACTACAACTATCAAATACTCCGGATTAAAGTTTATGAAAATAAAATCTGGCTGCCATATGAATGAACACTTTTATAAAAGTGAGGGCTTTACTTTTTAATGTATTATATTTTCTCAATTTTTTTTTCCATGTATTATTCGATCAGTGTGCAAATACGCACTGCAGTTTCAACATAAAATTGGACATAGATTGAGTACATATGATTAGTTAGTTGTAATATTATTTAAGATTAATTGAAGCAAAGATTTAAATATGAAAAAAGTACACGGGTATACTCACTCTCATTAAGTATTTAACTTAGTTATCTGGAAAAATATCTGCTGTAAAAAAAGAAAAGAAAGAAGAACATTGTAGTTTAGTCCCCACTTGTCTCTCTTCCACTCCAAATAAACCCCATAGTCTTTTCAGAATTTTTGTACACTTGCTCCACCCATCTCTCTCTCTCTCTCTATCCTTCTTCATCTCTCCTTTGCTTGCCTTTTCTTTAAGTTATTCTTCCAAGATCAAATAGTTCCTTCTTTGATCTCACTCGCATAACTAAACTTTCCATGTAACTCAAACAAGAAGAGAGATATCATTGAAGAGAAGCCACAAACTACAAATGTCTATTGATCTATCATCTGAGCGTGTTTGCTATGTCCATTGCAACTTCTGCACAACTATTTTAGCGGTAATCTCTTTCTATTCCCAAACTTCCTTATATTAACAATGGGAATCTTTCTCAAAAGAAAAGTGTGTTCGATATATAACTCAGAGATAGATCTCATTTTTTTCTAACTTAATTCAAACAATTAAGATATTATCTTTCTATCAATCATATTGCTTAATTGATGATAAATATTTTATGATGAATATTGCATCTGTTTAATGAATTAACGTACTTGTTCGTCTGGCTGTTGATGAAGATATATATGGGGGAGTTTCTTAATCCGAGAAGATAAACGAAACCCTAAAATTTCATTTTACCTTTTTTTATTTTCTGGAGATGACTCTCTCTAACGCGTGATGACATATATATACCCAAATAAGTAAAAGAAGTTCGGTAATTGAACCATAAATTCTAGTGCTCAAACAAAGTAAACTCAAAGGAAAGAGCTCTTGAACAGATTTAGGGCTCTATGTGTAGGTTTATAATCTGCAACAAAAGCATCTTCTTTAGTAAAAAAAAAACAAAACAAAAGCATCTTCTTTCTCTGATCCACAATTTTTCTGAAGTTTTTTTTTTTTGTCGTTTTAGAGGCATATTTTTCTTTTGTGTTTTAAGAAATCCTTCATTTTCTTAAATACTACTCGTAATTCCCTAAGTTCCAATCGCCACTAATGCTTCCTGTAAAAGGAATTGGTAGGTAGAGAGTTGCTTCCTGTATCCATGTGATACAGGCTCAAAAACTTTCACTAAGTTTTCCAGCTTTATAGTCTGACTTCATATTATTCTGTAAATATAACTGTAGTATGTGACATGTATACATATATCATATCAATCATAGATCTTTGATCTACAAAGCGTGGTCCATGTAAAAATGTTTACATCACATCAACAGCTGATAGCCTGATAATGTTAAAAAACATTTTTTTGTTCTCAGTTTTCCCTTTTCCTACAGTGAGGTGAGGCTAATTTTTTTTTTATATATATATATATTCAATTTTTATTTAAATGTCATTATTTTTTCTAGTTTCATAGGCTGCTGGCTTGACATTGTTTACTATTTAATGGTTTTATGTGACTATTTAATTATATTCATACATTTGAATGTTTGATTTTGATTTGCGTGCACATCTATCTCTATATATGTAACCTATAAATCATTGATTTATGATCCATAAGCTATCACGAAAACCTGACTGACTAGAACATGTAGTCAGAACGTAGTTATACTAGTGTAGTAGTGGTATCCCAAGTGCCATAACTTGTATATAAGTCATGACTCGTGTACTAAAGTGTGTGAGTTGTAGAAGATTTTATAAAAGGAGCAATCGCAGAAACTCTTCTAAGTTGATTGTTTATAAACGTTATATATACTACATATAAATAAATAGTGGAGATGTAGCATCACTCTGGTTAGGGACATTTAATTCAAAAAAAGTTGAAGGTCGTCTTGCACAAAATGGTGGTGGTATTGTAGTGGAAAGTACACAAGATTTGTTCTACCCAGTTCGAGCAACAATTTCTTGATCTATACAAAAGCTACAGACTGTTAAATCATGGCCGATCTTGACCACTTCCGATTGGATGCATACACAAAAATAAAGAAGATTATAATATAAGATGGTACCCTCACATAACGTGTTAATGACTTTATGGACTGTGGTTAAGGTCAGGTCGTTTTCTAACATGACTGTCTTCTCTTTACAAGCCTTCATCAACCATTCTTCATCTCTTTACTATCTTTTATCATATTGCCTTGAGGATTGTGTGTCAGACATAAATAAACAGAACCTACCATACACAAAAATACATCCCTCGTATATTTATATATACATATTCTTTTTTTTAACACCTTATATATACATATTCTTAAGTGACTCTTTTACACAGTTTTTGTTTTCATTTTGTTCCATCTTTGGATCAGAGATATATATATGTAAGAAAAGCTATGGACAATCTTGCACATATGAAAAATATATAATATACTATCTGATTTCCTTCTATATAAATGTTTCAGATTATAAGGTATTAATATATGTACATTTTTATTATTTCAAGACATTGTACCACGCATAAATTTGTTATTTATGAATGAAATTACTGATTAATTATATGATGACATAAACCCTAAATTTTGATCACCTTCAGTTGATCTTAAGAATTTTCTTTGACTAATCTACTCGCTAGTCAACAAATATTATTTTTTTACACTGGAAAATATTAGTTGGAAATGTATTTGTCAAATCAAGACCCTGTTCTATAATTAACCAAAACGTACTGTTCTATAGAATGGAATAGAATTAGGGGTTAACATACGTACTCTCCTAAAATCCTTGTTGATTATTGCATGCAAGGTATAATTAAGTTATACCCTACATATTACAGCATATGTTGTTCAAACCAACCAATCGAATTATAGAATAGTGGTAAAACAAGACAATAATTTGTCCGTTTAGGCAAATGATTTAAGAGATTTTGCAAATTATTATGTGTGATCAGGTAAGTGTACCATACGCAAGCTTGTTCACACTTGTGACAGTGAGATGTGGCCATTGTACCAATTTGCTCTCTCTCAACATTGGAGTTTCACTTCATCAAAGCTCTCCCCTTCCCATTCATCAAGATCTTCAGGTACCACAATAATCACTATGACTTCAACATTTTGGTAGAATTATGAGTCTATGACTGATATAGTCTTTTCAATTAATCATGAAGCAGAATAAGCAACACATAACCTCTTCGGTGACAAGAAAAGAACACGGATCATCTTCGAAGAGCTACAATCATTTCTCGACCACATTGTCAGAAAATGTAGAACGAGAGGCTCCTAGAATGCCTCCTATTCGTCGTAAGTGGCTCTTAGTTATACCTCTCACATTTGAAACACAAGTATTTTGAAGTTTGCGTGTACATAGGCACTGAGTCCATAATTTTTATTTTCATGGCAGCGCCTGAGAAAAGACAACGCGTTCCTTCGGCCTACAACAGATTCATCAAGTAAGCGTTAACAGTAATTTTTTTTTGTTTCTCATTTTATCCAAAAGAAAGAGTTTCTCTTTGAATGATATTTTTTCAACTCCTTCACTATAATTAAATAACTATTTAATTAGAGAGGAAATCCAAAGGATCAAGGCTGGTAATCCAGAGATCAGCCACCGCGAGGCGTTTAGTACAGCTGCGAAAAATGTAAGCTTCCTACTTTAACATTCTTTCACACATATATAAACTTAATCCAACGAGAGGTATAGCTGAAATCAAAATTCTTTATAGAGATAATTTGCTAGCATACCCTTTTTTGGACCCATAATTAGATATTTGCCCATGATGTGACAATCACTTTCCTTTGGATCATTTTGCCCTTCTCTACACTCTCTCTTCTCTTTGACATCTTTCCCTTTTTTTTTCTCTTCAATCCCTAATTATTTTACAAATCTTTATCATTCTATATACAATTAAATTTTAAATTTCATTATATATAGATCATTCTATATACAATTAAATTTTAAATTTCATTGTGTATAGATCATTCTATATACAATTAAATTTTAAATTTCATTATTTTTCATAAGTGGTTTTGAATCCTCATTTTTTTTTACTTTTTTTTTCTCTTCAATCCCTAATTATTTTACAAATCTCTTTCATTCTATATACAATTAAATTTTAAATTTCATTATTTTTTCATAAGTGGCTTTGAATCCTCAAATTTTTGATGATATCAATTTTCTGGGTTTTAGATTCGACGTCGTGTTAGCAGTTAACAAATATTGTAAACGTTAACAGAAGTGTTAGTTGTTAACAATTATTTTTATGTTTCGCGTTAATAAATATGTTCGCTGTTAACAAATATTGTAGACGTTAACAGAAGTGTTAACTGTTAACAATTATTTGTACGCTTCGCGGTAATAAATGTGTTGGCTGTTAACAAATATTGTAGACGTTAACAGAAGTGTTATATGTTAACAAATGTTTTTATGCTTCGTGTTAATGAGAGGAAAGAGAAAGAGCATTCTCGGCATTTCCTTGCCAAATAGTTGTGTCTGTGTCCTTCATGTACAATCAATGGTATTTTGCTAATTTGAGCTTCAAATATGAATAGTTCACTAAATCACTCTTCTTTATAATTTATGTCACCGACGATGTCAGAATTTAAGAGAGTTATGTGGAGAAGGTGCAAATAAAATAACATCTTGAAGAAGGAAAAAAAACATAAACCGGAACTAGAAGGCTATATATATATATATATATAATTAGATTGCACTTCTTGTTGAACAAAAAAAAGGATTACACTTCTTTACTAGAGTATTTTCTAATAAAAAGCTTAGTAAATATAATTCTTTACGCTATTTGTTTTTTAAAAAACATCATGGTTAATTTAGGTAACCAATTTTTGTTAAAAAAAGAACTGATATGCAAACACATGATTAGATAAAATCATCTATTTCTGACAAGTATTAGAGATGCCATAAACTAATATTATTGGTGGGAATGTTCTAGGGTTTGATCTTTTTCACTGTTGTCAGCTAGGATGAAACTTTTGAAATATAAGTGTATATACCATAAGGTAGTGGATTCTACTATATATGCACAAGTGGTGGAATGTTTATTACAGTATGCTTTTAACAAAACTAAATATTGCCATTTTTTGTTTGTAGTGGGCACATTTTCCTCACATTCACTTTGGATTAAAGCTGGATGGCAACAAAAAAGGCAAGCAAATAGACCAGACAGTTGCAGGCCAAAAGTCTAATGGCTATTACTAAAGCCTTTACATATTTATTGATAAATGGCTATTATATATATATGTATGTCCCTTTCTTTTTCATGTGTGGGTTCCATCTATAACTTCGTTTGTTCAATCCCCACAGAAAAAAAAATTGCTAAAAAAAAAACTTTCGTTTGTAGTTTAATATTATCCTAAAAAAATGAAGCCCATATATGGTTTTCACATTTAAACCTAATTATATAAGAAGATTGTATTATTATTTCCTCTTTCCTCATTCTAAAAAGGTTTAACTTTTTGTATGGTCACGAATTTATATAACGTGAAGTTTATACTCTATACCAGTTGTAGATACTACTAACGCACAGGAATACAAGTGATTATATCAATCTTATATAATAAAATAGAAGTCATAACTTTATTTGATAAGTGATTTTTTAGTTGGACATTTCTTAAACATTTATAAATTTTTTTAATATCAATAATATATAATCTATGTAACTATTTTAATTATAATATCTTTTGATAAATTTTCATTTTAAATATATATATTTCAAACTTCTAGAAAATTTGTTGAAAAGTTTTTTTTTAAAGATCTCAATTTTAAAAATCGTATCTAAATATTTTCACTAATTTCATAATTAATAATAAAATATTATTATACATTAATATATATTCAGTTATTATTTATAAAATAAACAATAAAAAAATTTTCCTATTTTATAGTCATAATCATTCATATTAAAATAATTCTTATACTGAATTAATTAGAATAAAAGTATACTAAATTGATTAATTAATATATTAAATATGTTGTTTCATGCATATATTGATCTAATTAATAAACAAATGTAAATTTATCAAGCTAAATCTTCTATAAATAAAAAGGGATATAAGTGTTTTTAAACTGCGTCCTCAACTTTAATCAGTCAATAGATATCTTTTATTCTGTCACGTCATTGCCACATTAGCGTTTTTGTGGACTCCACTTCTATTTTATTTTTCTCTGGAATGAGCTTAGGTGAATCATTGTCAGACTTCTAAATTTCCGGTCCGTCAAACGCCTAGGGTTTCTTCTTTCTTTTGTGTAGCTTCGTCGTCCAAAATGGCTTCCCCTTTTGTCGGATCCATTTTGATCTTGATCCTTCGACGGTTTCTCTAGGCCTGGGCATTCGGGTACACGTTCGGATACGGATCAGTTCTTTCGGGTATCATGTTTTTGAGTTTTGAATTTAGGACCCATTTGGATATTATAAATTTACTGGTCGGGTTCGAGTCGGGTCCTCAAGGTCTGGGTGGGTTCGGGTCTGATGCATAGGAACCTGAAAATAACCAAATAACCAATGTATCTGAAACGGGTTCGGTTATTTGTACCCAAAGTAACCATATTACCCGATATAATTCAGATATTTTTTATTCAAATTACCTACTTTACCTAGATATAACCAAAAATACTCCTTCGACACTGTTTTGTTTAGGTATTTTATATCCGAAATATTATATTTTATCTAATAATACTCAAACAATATACCAAAATAACTAACATATTTAATTTATAGTTTTAATTTTAAATTATTAAAATAAATATAAGTATAATTATAAATAATATTTCCAGATACATATTTACATTTCGTATATTTCGGATACTCATTCGGTTCTTGGTTCGGTACTGGTTCTTCGGATATTGCAATTTAGGACCCATTCGGTTATATACCCTAGATCCGATCGGGTTTGGAACCTGATTTTCGGGTAGGTTCTTTGGATCCAGATATTTTGCCTAGCCCTAGGCTTCTCTAACGACGAAACGATTCTTCTTCCCGTAACGCCTTCTCCATCCTCCTATAATGCTTTCTTCATCTTGATTTGATCGCTTTCTATCCTTGCTTTGCTTTTTTTTTTTGGTTTGTCAGAACAAGTTGCACAACTTCCTTGAGTGTGTAGAGGTTTTGAGTAGGCCTGGGCATCCGGGTCATCGGGTCGGATTCGGGTCGGGTCTTGTCGGGTTCGGGTCCTTCGAGTCCTAAAAAATTGGACCCATATAGGTACCTATAATTTTTCAGGTCGGTTCCGGGTCGGGTCTTGTCGGATCCGGGTCAGTTCGGGTCTATAATTTCAATACCCGTAAAATACCCATAATTTTCGGGTATATTTCGGATCCGGGTATTTAGGACCCGAAAAGGATCCGAATACTCAAAATAGATCCGAAAACCCGAAAATTACCCGAAGAACCGCCGAAATACCCGAAATTATCAAAAATCAGATCCAAAAACCCAAATAATACACGAAAATTTACCCAAATACCCAAATGTTATTTTCTGAAAATGTAAAATTTTACCCGAAACCTAAAATTAGACCCGAAAACCCAAACCCAGAAATTTTAAAAATACCCGAAATACCAAAAATATACCCAAACACCTAAATATAACTTATATATGCAAGAATTTGCGGGTACTACGGGTACCCGAACGGGTCTCGGGTAGGATCCGGACCCGACCCGAGACCCGCGGGTCCAAATAAAAAAGACCCAACAAGTACTTTAGCATGGACCCGGACCCGGACCCGAACCTATATTTTCGGGTTGGTTCCGGTTCGGGTCTTCGGGTCCGGGTAAAATGCCCAGGCCTAGTTTTGAGACAGATCCAGTGGAGTCAATGTTTCATCTAGATGAAGGCTAGAGTAATTAGTGTCTTACTCCTTCTTTGTTTTCCATTGAACTAACATGATGAATTTGAAGCTACGTTTTTGGAGGACATGGCAGCTCTGGAAGCTAAATATCAAAAGTTGTGTCATGCTTTGTATACCAAGGTACAGGAGTGATCTTTGATCATGTGATCACATGAAACCCCACTATTGAAATATTGATCTTTGTTGCTTCTTACTTATACGTCAATCATGTTGTGTTTTCTAATTTCCGAAGTTGTCCGGTTAGACCTGTACGCCAGGGATTTAACATTTTTTCCTACTTTACTTCTGAAATAGAACGCACCAGTAGCTGAAAGGATGAGGTGCAGGGGCGGATCTACTTGACGTAGGAAGGGTGCAGCTGCCCCACTAAAATTTTCAAAATATTTAACATACCTCTATAATAAGAAGTAATGCTGACTGCATTGGTTTGTTGCCCCCACTAAGAGAAAGTCTTTGCCCCGTTAGTTTATGTTTTCATCACTTGTTTTGTTTTGTGTCTTATTTAAAGTTCGTTATTTTAATTCTAGCATAAATTATAAACTATTTTCTAATCTACCTCTCCTATACTGCATAATTTAGTTGTCATTATTTCTATTCTTTCAACGTATTTGTGAATCTATGATATATATGATTTCCACCAAAGCTTATTTTTATTATCTAATCATTTTTATTTTACTTATGTGTCGAATAACTAATTCGAAGAATTTATATTTACTTCTAAAGATATTAAAAGAGCAAACCCATCTATTATAGTAATGGAGAAATCATTTTAAGTTAATATCTATATGTTTTTAAACAGTATTTGATATACATATTTTTTTGTTTTTAATTTTTTTATAGTGTAGATTTTATCTATAAATAATATTTTTGTTTTTTTTATGGTTTCTTAATGAAAACTATATTTAAAATAATTTTTGCCCCCACTATAAAAATATTCTAGATCCGCCACTGATGAGGTGAACAAAATCTCTTATGCAGCCAGCGACTACAAGAACAATCACTGATCTAGAAACAAAGCTTTTTGGAGGGGAGGAGTTTGCAAGAGGCACAAACGTGGAAGGAGAAACATTTTTTTTCTTTTTTGATCTCTGTTAAAAGTGTCGCCTTGACTATAACCAAAAAGTAAATGTAGACTCTCTTGATCTATTTATATCTAACAGTCGGTTTCACTATTGTCTGGGTTTCTAAACTCTGGTTTTATTTTATTTTTCTATACATGCACATCTTGCAGATTTACTAGCAAGCTAATGAAGTTTGAAATTAGTCAAGAGTGTTATATAGTGAAGTCGCAGCGGATATGTCAGACAGATTCACAAGGAATTGTATATAGATGGCAAATTCATGAAGGTAAACCGGAAAAGCTTTTTATCACTCGTACTAGAAGACATCATACATGCTATTACGTCTTTTCCACTCTTCTGTGTTAAGCCAGAACTAAATCATACAAAGATTGTATCACCATAGTCTCCCATAAATGACGTTTATCTGGGAATTGAGTAGACAATTTACAATGCTTTGTATAGTAGAAATGTTGAATATCTTCCTGTTTGGGTAGAAATGAGACCTTTTAGTTGTTTCACGTCCTGGTAACATTTCTCCACAATGAAAGATAGATGAGTTTTATTATTATATCAAGTTAGTTGTCACCAAGAAGTTTCGAGAAATACAATTTAGAGCTTATGATACTTATCTTCAAATCTAATGCTTGTGTTAGTTGCAGTGAATCTAATGTGCATGGCCAGTGTGCTTGATTACCACTAAAGTTGGATGCGCTAGATAAGGCTCTTAGCCAAGCTCACAAATAGGCAGGCTGAGTTGTTGTCTTCTGCCGTCTCTTAATTCTTCATAATTTACTTAGTATTTGCACGATTTTCCTCCGTGATTAAGTGACAGACGAGAGCTTTCTTAGGCTTACATGTATGTGTGTTTACTATGGACTCAAAACTTTTATGATGTGTTAGATTTTTCAAGTGACATTGCCACTGAAGATGCTTTGTTCGTGTAAATTATATTTGGCGGATGCTGATTTCTTTCTCCCAGCTGTAATACTAAAATAAGTGGATATAACAGAACAGAACAGAAGACGTTATACAACTAGCTGATGTCTCACTGGCTGTTTGTGGTATGTTGTATGGATACAAGCATATGGCTCATTAGGTTATTATGCAAACGGATTATAGCATACGATGTAATCTTTGGATGTGAGACTATGAAGTAAAAAAGAACATCTATTTGTGAGAGACGTAACATGTGCCAGTCACATTTATTGTAATTATATAACCAGGGCGTTTATTTTGTTTATTATTTGTACTATATTTTATTTTAAATTTGGTTTGAAATTTTATAGACGGATCT